GTTTTGTTTCTATTACTTTAAATGATGTATTTAGTATTTTCTTACTCACTTCACAATAACAGCTATATGTTTGTTTGTTTTTGTTTTTTGTTTTTGTTTTTTTTTTGTTTGTTTTTTTTTCTTGTTTAGTTTTTTTTTTTTCTTCAAAAATTCCATCAATATTCCGACAAAAAGAACTACATGCTTTATGTAATTCAAAAGAAAACAAATGGACTGATTCAGTAGTAAAGAAACGCAGAAAAAAAGGTCACACAGACATGTCCGTATAGGAACTTGCATGAAATAAATAGCTGCATGCAATATACTAAAAGAAATACATCATTGTATTGTATCAGGAATATGTTTTTTGTTTTGGCTAACCTTTGTTGTTGAAACGCAGGTAAGAAAATCCGAAGATAATCAGCATAAACCAAATTTCGCTGCCAATTTAAACCTGTGAACTCTTACCTTCGCACCTAGGAAATATTGAACCCTTAGTAGTGCCTGACGCCATGACAACAGGCAACTATGACTTTTAGACTGAATTTTTGAAATATACGAAAAATAGACAATTTTGATTTTAATATATCACAGCAAAATGTAGGGTATGATCTGATTAAAATTTGACCATCTATTTTAGTAGACATGTTGGCCGGTATTGGCAGATATCCGGTAAAATAAAGAGCGAAATAAAAAGTTTTATTTAATTTTGAATTTGAGTGCAAAGATTTTATTAATCTTTCAATGCACATTTTACTTTTCTTTGTAAAAAGGTTTGTGTTTGAGAAATGGTGACACGCCTAACTACCCCGATTCTATATTGTGTCTGTTTTAATCAGCAAAACCACTCACAGCGCACTGTCACCATGCATAACCATTCTCAGATCAATTTTTAGAAATGTATTTACATTGAAAATGTATTGCATTAACAATAAGACCAAAGTCCTATCTTGGAGTCTGGACTAGTAATTTTAATTATTGCAGCCCGGGGGACCGGGATGCTCTATACATGTAAGTCTAAGTGTTGGTGTATGGGGATTGGGGTGGGAGAAGTTATTCAGAGTTAAAGGTTTTCTTAACATTGAAATTACTGTTAAACAGAATGTTTTTTCATTTTTAAATTACGAGATACATAATATATTTACTTCAATAAAGTGAATCTGTAAAAATATATATGTTTTTCATATAAAATATAAAGTTGCTTATTATTTACTATCGAAAAAAAAAAAAAAACAGATCCCTTCTTTTAGAACATCAAATTTTACTTCTCGCATTAAAACGTACCCCGCACTGTTCGTGTTTTTTTAACTCTAAAATTGAAAACGGATACATTTTTAAATATATGTGATACACTTGTCTAACTTCAATTTATATCTTATGCAGCCAACATTTACTTAAAGAATTAATCAAGTTTAAAATGGACTCGTTTTTGTTTGATTTTTATCCAACTATAAGTTTTCAAAATATTTGCGACTATCGTCTCCATCAATTAGATGCATGCCTTTTCACACATATCGAAGCTGTTCGATGATCAAGACTCATTTCCACTGTTTACTTTATATAATTCCAGGGCGACAATTGATGGTTACATCAATGTTTTCTTGTTGGTATATGTAGAGGGGACATTGTTAATCATAAACATAAAACTCGATCTTCTTGTTACATCTGTAAACATCAATGACCAGAAGGAAAAAAAAAATATTCCAATTTCGATCAGACAGTATACTCAAGCCATAAAAGCCTAGCTTTCAGTACTTTCAGTACTTTGTAAATGTCTTAATGCCAAAGCCTTGTGATCATACAAATATATTCAACGTACAGATGTTCTACTCTAAATTCATTCATTACTTTCAAATGAAAGTACAATAAACAACAAACACACCATTTGGACATAGCAACGACAGGCAGCAGCTTTATTTGTACAGTGTACAGAACATATGCAAAATATGAAAATCAATTTGTATATACAAGTTCATGTTGGATTGAATAAATCATTATAAAATTGAAACTTTATCGTGCACCACGTGTCGTCCTAAACTGGTATTTAAACCACTATTCACCTCTTATATAGCCTTGCTAACGAAACCGGTTCTAAAGAACCACGTGATATTCACCAGGTATTCGAATGAAAACATTGAAATTCCGAAAAAGTAATTCATTATCACACCAAGTAGAAATTGATTTCTGTCTAATTCGTTCCTCAAACGAAAGAAAACATATTGTATACAAGTATGAGGGTGTTTCATTTTTATGATTTTTATACGTAATCGAAGATTAAGCTGTCTGTTTGTCCGCTAAAACTTCAACCGTGCCAAGAACGTTTGATTGGTTGAGACTATAGTTTTCATTAAATACACATGTGTCTTCCGTGTGACAAAACTTTTCTTTGTGTTCAATTAAATTTGACCTTGACCTTGTTTTATGTATACGTTTTCCAACATTTTATCCAATTTTAACCTTGAAAGTAACTTTTGAACAGTTAAAGTTATGTTTCCATTCTTCACATATATAATATTTGTGACAATACCTTCTTTTAAATACCAAAATATTTGACCTTTTGGCTTTGACCTTTACGTTTGAGAAACTTCAACGTTGGCTTTACATGTATCCATTGAACAGTAAGGAAGAGGTCTTTCATACTTCATATATAGACAAGACCAACAACTTTGACACTTTAACCTTGACCCTTGGAGTTTGTTCTACTTATAAAAAAATAATTTTGACCCTTACTTTTGAACAGATGATGCTAGGGATTTCACATTACACAAAATTTGTGTATTTCTTATGAGAAGACTGTACTTCTGGTACGAACATATTTGATATGCATTAAAGCAAGTTTAACCATCGCTATTATAAGTTGTCATATATGGAGACATCAGTGTTTCTCAAATTAAACACATCTTGTTTTCCTTTAACTTTGTTAGTCCCAATGGAGAGTTTTGTATATTTACTGGAGATCCGAATTTGTTTTTCTGCGTTGGTTACAAACTACAAGAACAACTCTACCCACCAACACAATTTCATATTTTTGTATTTAACAAAATCACAGATGTATTATCTACATTTACCATTATTTACTGTAGAATAATAATTTTAATGTGGGATCAAATGGACATTATTTTTTTTTTTATTATTATTTCCTTTTCATATCTGGAACTTTAATATAATAAAGTGATTTTTTTTTGTTGAAATATGTGTTATGCACCACAAGGAAATATCTTTCATTGTACGGGAATGTTCAATGTTGTCCTTTAACCTTAAATTTATATTAAACTTAGAGTACATATATAAAACAAACGTTGGGCTATACACATAAAAATATATCCATGTTGTTTCGACAATTAAATCATGATTTCCTTTTTAATCTAAAATAAATATTGATCATTTTCGTACTCTGAATTTTTCTCCATACGATAGAGTCATTACTATAAAATAAAAGTATTAAATAACATTACTTACATGTAAGGTATTTTTAAACTACATGCACTTTTTTCTATGCAAATTCTTAACATTGTTTCTAAATCGCTTAATTTAACATTCTGAACAGAAGTTTAAAGCAAAACAAAAAAAAAAACAAACAAAAAAAAAAAAAAAACAAACAAAAAAAAAAAAAAAAAAAAAAAAAAACAAAACAAAAGAAAAGAAAAATAAATAAATAAATAAAAATAAAAAACGAAAAAAAAACATACACAATCATGTAACAAGGAATCCCCCCCCCCCCCAAAAAAAAAGAAAAGCTAGGGATAAGGCAATTATACTTTATAAAAGAATTGAACTTTTCTTCTATAAATCTTAATGCTAACATATGCTGTGGATTAAAAAGATTGGTATAATCTTTATTTTTTCCTTAGTGAGGAAATCGGCATGACAAGGGGAAGGAAACATTGTTCGGAAGGCAGGTGTTATTTTTTGCATGTAAAATGACTTAAACATTTTTTCAATCATTCTGTATTTCTAATCTTTCAAATAAAGAACAAAAAAAAGTGTGTTATTATTTTTCTATATTTATTCTTTTTTAACTTCTTAAGATATGTTAAATTGTACAAACAATTTATTAAATCGTACAAACGTTTTCTTAGATCGTTCAAACGATTAAAAAAAAATTCTACATTGTTAAAATGGCACGAATACGCCGTCGTAAGAAACAACAATTTTATTTTCAAAATATCTGTAGCTTCCTTTTTTTGCTTAATTATTCTATGGATACTATGAACCTCAGTGTTATGAAAACAAATTAACCGATTTAGGAAAACAGAAAAGCATGTACTTAAGTCGAGTCGAGGGGGAGGTAAATTTTGAAAAAAAAGCGGGGGACAAAAGAAGTTACTGTGTAGAAGAGTGATGTATTTTTTTGTGATATTGTTGTCGTACATTCTTACATGATACTATTGGAGTTATCTTCCGTTGAAAACAGCATTATATTTAAATGACTAGGTCAGAAAATAGAACAACTGGTATTGATCGTTTGCAGGCGTGCGTATGATAAAGGTCAATGAGTGAGGAATGTTCGTAGATGTAGTACAGTTTACTGCTGTAAAGGAGGTCTCTCTCTCTCTTTGTTCTTTCTCTCTTTCTCTCTCAATTTTGTTTTTTGAAAATGGAATTTTGTCGTCATCATGAATGAATGTTTATTTCAATCTACATGCATTAATTAATCACAATTTATTGACGTACAAAGTCAACAAATATAATTGTTTTATTGTCCTAAGTAGAATCTGTTGTTATTATTTTTAATGAAAATGACGCAATTCAGTTATATTCAAACACATATTCCACAAACTAGGTTTTACTTGCTACCTTTAAGTCTTCTGAATTTAGCCTTACCTAATTTGTTGTCATGTGCCGGATATTTTTCCGACGAGAAAGAGACCAGTTTTAAGGGAACCTAAACAAGTCTTTTTTTATAACACCTTTGCTATTTTGATTGCGATAGTGTAAAATTGAACTTAGAATTGCACTTTTAACATAAAATTGTGTTAAAAGAATACCTTAAAATTATGTAAATAAAATATATATCTGACCTTGAAAGCAAGGGAATACAAAGGGTGTAGACTAATGTAAGTAATTTATTTTTTCATTAACATGATATCAATGACACATATTAATCCGCAACAGATTAGTAGGATACAAGACGTGTCGTAGCAACTGAATCTGTCAGTACCATGAGTTGTTTTCGTTCATTGGTCTAACCTTAATTGTTTAAATGTACCTGGGTGTGGCGACTTTGTAGAATACCTTACGCAACACTGGTTCTCATGAACTTGAATTTCACAATGGGGTTTTCCATAGAGTTCACTAATGGGGAACCAGTTTATAATACTGAGATCACCATATTATCCGTAAAATGGGCCTTAGAGAGCACAAGTACACATGAAATACAGCACACATTTTTTTAAAAATGATCCTTTTGATGTCATTATTCTTTTTCTGTGGTTTATTTCTAAATAACAGATACATTAAGTATAAAAAGAAACAAACCCTGACAAATTTTAAAGAAAATGATTTTAACTATTTTATTTTTCAAATCGAGCATTCCAAGCTACGAACAGTATGAAAAGGTATCTATAGATATGTTCTTTGTTTTTCACACCCATGTTAGGTCTTTTTTGCATAACACGGGGTTGCTTTTTAATGCATGGGTTATGCTACCATTACCTCTTTTTTCGTGCACTTATGCATAATCTAAAATTTAACTCATTTAACTTACACATTTAATTTAATTTCATCACCGGTTAAAAATAAATTACTACCCAGTTATACCAACAGAGTTTGACCTGGGTTGTGTCCTGATAGAGATAGGAAATATCAGTCTAACTAAGAACTCTCGAATTCCTCTATGCATTGGCATTACTTTATAAACTTTATAAACTTTAAGTAACCTCCCATTTAATTTTTGTCCTGTGCTTTTTTTTCCCAAGTCGATTCGAGTCAAGTTTGATTTGCAATTAAGTCTATAGTATAGGAAACTACGGTGACTGATTAATACATTTCTGTTACTAAATTATTCATATGTTAAAGTGCAAATTATCTTTAATGTAATAAGTGATTTTAAGATTAAGCTGGTAAGGGGTAACCATGCATCCATCAAACACCTCAATCTGCTTGTTATAAGGAGCTACAGTTAATCTTAGTGGTGAGCTTGCAGTGTTTTATGTGTACTTGTTGTATGCGGAGACTTTCATTATCTTTTATTACCAAAAGTACATAAACTATCTTAATTTATATTTACCCAGAAAATGTTTGATATTAGCTTGAAAGTTTTTTTTTAAAGAGTACACTTGATTAACCTCCACGTACATGTATTCTTCTAATATACTTGCTTCCTGAAAAGCATGAACAAGTATATAATTACACCTATGCATAAGTATGTAATCATGTCACAGACCTCCAATATAATCCAAATATTTTACAAATCAATTGAATTTAACAATCATGTGTGTAAGCCAGTTGTTCAATTCACAAGATTCACCTACTTAATAAACTGGAACACGCTTATATAACTTTTAATAGACTTTCATGTACATGTATAAACTAGCGGACAATAAATGTTTCAATAATTTACTCATAAAACATTACTTTAAAATCAAAATTAACTAAGAAAACTGACTTTATTTAATCTTCTTTTATTTTTGTATCGTGTGATGTAAATTTATAAGCAGCTTTTATATTCCTCTTTTATATTTAGACTTACCTTTTTATTTCTTGTATCACAAAATCCTATATTATAAATATTAGTATTTTTAGATATTTATAAACGATCGTTGGGGATAGACTGGTAGCTAATTGTTGCTAATATTCACCGGTAGTGGAATTATAATAAATGTAGATAGGCAGATATAAAGCTAGATATATAAGTATAGATACTTGTAGAAATTAGAAAGCGTAATACTATCAATTAGTTGAATAGATTTCAAACAATGTTTTTTTCTTTTATTTCTTTTGTTTCTTTACTGACAAAAGATTCGTTTAACATTCAGATTAATTGATTATGATTATACAATATATATATACATTTCTACCGTTTTATATAAAATTTAATTTTTTTTTTCTTGCAGAAACTCGAGAAACAGTGAAATCAAATTATGGATTAAAAGACGTCCAAGAAGACAAACCATCAAACAAGTTTATGAAAAGATTAATGATGTAGAAAAAAAATATATAAACATTGCATTATAAATGAAAGGAAATCCCCATAGTGATAGGGATGTCTCACTCCAGTAATTTTAGAATTCTTTAATATTTTTTTCTGAATAAAACCCCGTCCTTATTTGGTATTGTGCTAATTCGACTTTCAGCACTTAGTTTATGAGTGATTGTTTGGATAGCTATAGTAAATTCACCTAGGCTTGTATGTGTGACCCCCCCCATCAATAAATAAAAATAAAATAAACCAAAGAAAATTCATTGAATCTTTTTGGACAGTTAATAACAATTATATTTTTATGCATATTTTACATAATGTACAGGTCTATCATCAGATAAATCGGGAAAAATTCAAAATAATAAATAATCCGTAACAGAGGGTTCTTTTGTATAGAATATTTAATTTGCAGCCCCCCCCCCCCCTATTTTACTTTTGATTGCTAGACAAAAAAGTGAAAATATTGTTTGTGACTAATTACAAGAAGCCCCAGGGGGTGAAAACTTGGAATGGAAGTTATGTCCACAAGAACTTCTAAATAAAACTTTATAAATTATCTTTCTTTATTTAGATTTATTTATGTTATTATGCATATATACATCTAATGTCGTATATTAAAACATTTAAAACAGTAAAAATTATTCTAAAAGGTTAATTTTTCTTCAAAATGGATTGTCTTAAAAGAAAAAAAAGATTACATCCCACCAAAAAAAAAAAAAAAAAAAGAATTGGCCCAAAGAACATTGCCAAGACTTAGGGTGAATTCACCATGCATCGGACACCCTTGTACTTCAACAAGTTATAGCGATATCACTACCGACGGAAAATTATCAAAGTGGAGCGTAACATTTAGTTTGTGATTAACATATCAATTTAGGACACAATTATATGCCGTTTATAGAAAAAAATATCCCCAAAAATCGAGTTTTTAGGAAAACGGAGAATTCACCATGGATCGGACATTGTTCACCATGCATCGGACAGACGGTATGGATAATGGAAAAATATCATACCTTTATCACAGTGCTTTAAAATCCTTGATATGGATACATTTTCATCTTTTATCTGAGAAATAACCCTCAACTTAAATTTAATCGACGATATTGTTGCACAAATGTAGAACGATTCTTGAGACCTCACTATGCCTTAGAAATGCTTTAAAATGCTTATAATGCAGTAAATCGCGCCTTTTTCTCATGGTTTATCATACTCTGGTTTGTTGAAATACAGTAAATTGAGTCAAATTCCAGACGTCATATATCGATAACTTGTATTTTGACTGAAAATATTGAGTTTTTATTTTCTTTTTCCGCAAAAAACAGCTGTCAGATTGGTTCTGCATGAAAGTGGTAGTGCTTACCTTTGTATAGATAGAATATTCTATCGTTAAAATGATAAATGTCCTACGGACCCGGTTTAACGATAGAATGCGTTCCGTGTATTCACAATGTAGCAAAGTAAACATGGGCGATAACTCGTACTAGTGCATTTACTATGAACAATCAAGTGAGTTCCGAACGTTAACAATGGCGAAATTTGAAGCGAGAAAAAACATTGGGAAAATTAGTTGAATTTTCGTCTTTATTTAGACTAAACTTTAGGTTTAAATACTTAAGTAGCCCCAAAAAGGTTTGTTTTAATTAATTTAAAAGTTATTTTCAGTGCAAATCCGTTTGTATCCTTCAAAATCGTTTCGGTGCGATTCTGCAATTTTTAGCTACATTGCGAGTATATGGGTGGTATCCTAACTGTGGTGAGGGCTTGTCCCGAGACACGGTTAGATTATTCTAACTAACCTTTGTATCGAAAAGTGTCCGATGCATGGTTAATTTGTGTCCGATGTACGGTGAAATTAGCATACTAGTAAAAACCAGCCCTTATAAGAATTAAACAAGCATTGAAGTGAAATTTCTTTATAATTTATGTAAAATTACAAATTCCTGACAAAATTCACCAAAGTCCGACTCGTTCCGTGGAAGTCGAATTTAAAAGAACGATAACTTTAAATATTGCAAAATCATAAATATCGGGTTATTCCCCTTTGATGATGTAAAATATGACGTAACTTCAAGGCCATTTGAGGGGTATTTTTAACACAACATGATAAACACAATCGGTATCATTAAAAAATTTAAATCTTCTTCTTTATGACAGAAACAAATGAATACACAGAACTCTTAAGTTGAAAGAGAGTTTATTGCCTAAAGTTGTCCGAAGCAAGGTATGAGTCCGATGCATGGTGAACTCACCCTACTCGTAATTGTTCATCCGTACCATTTCAAAAAAAATTATACCTCTGTAAACGAAGTTTCTAGGGGATATAGTTCATTTATCATTTGTTTTTCATCTTGCTTTAGATTACCGATATCATATTTTAATTTGCACCGGTGATTTTAATTCTCGTTTTTTCCTAGCACCTTTACTACCCTTCACTCAGTCCGCCTAAATGTACAACCCTGATGTTTTAAAATCATTTTTTTAATTGCAATTTAAAGTTACATGGTTTAGCTCCTGGAATTGATTATCGATTTTTTTTTTCACAGAGTACGCTTGATTAAAAAAAACTTTTGTCTTTTAAGATTTCATTTTTATGCCCCCGTAAACGAAGTTTCGGGGGTATATAGTTTTTGTCGTGTCCGTCCGTCTGTCTGTCTAGACGTCTTTCTGTCTAGCTGTCTGTCTCTCTGTTTGTCCGCAGAAAAACCTTAACCTTGTCCATAACTTTTGATTTAGTGGAACTATGACTTTCATATTTCACATGTGTATTCCTTGTGACAAGATCTTTCTCTGGGTACCATCAAATTTGACCTTTTAAGGCATTATCCTGTTATTAGCATCGCGATGCTAATAATTTTTGACGTCATTTTACGTAACGTCAGAAGCGTTAAATGAGTTAATTTTAAAATATTTAATGAT